GAACTGAAAGCACATACACAGACACTGTAATCCTGACCAGGTGAAAGCATTAAAACTGCTACTGGTAGAAAGATTTTAATAATATAAAAAGCTATAGATGGATTGTCTGTGGCTCCCCACACAGGCAGTTGCAGAAGTGAACTGGAAGGCAGGGCACAACTTCAGTGTGTAGGTACTGAGGATTCGCAGGGTACATTTGTATATAAGCATGCATTAAAGATCACTAACCTTCTGTGGGGGGGATTGTATTTAATATTTAAATAAATATTAAAAAATATTTAAATATTTATTCTCCTCCCCCCAAGGAAAGATTTATTTATTTATTTAATTTAGAAATGGATGGCAACACGTCTTTTCTTGCTGTACTGTAAACACAAACTTCCAAAAGCAAACGTTAATATAAGTTTCAGAGTTACAATTTCAGGTTTGATTTTCTTTGGCAATCCAACCTGCATGACGATTTTGATCAAATGCCTCAGCTTCTAACACTTGTAATAGATAATAAGATCCACGCAACCCCCCTTATATTTAAATAATCATATAAGAAATTGAATTTACAATGTGATGGAATATGAATTATCTAACAGGCTACAGAATAATACAAGTTCAGTCTGGTAGACAGATACCAGTACTGAGTGCAGCTTAAGCATTGAAGATAAGAGTGTAGTTATTTGCCTGCTTTAATAAAATCTATTTAAAATGAATGAACTAGGGTAAAAAAAAAGTAAACTATTCAGAGCTTGACTTAAGGCATCCGTCTGAAAACGAATTCACTAATTGTTTAAGATTTGCACCATTGAACAAAGATTATTTGATACAGTGATTCACAACAAATAACACGCTGAATTTAATTTGGGTACAAGCTACCGTTGGGAAGTCTTGTACTTGGTCTAGGCTTTTGTGCGGCTGCAGCTTCGATGTCTTTATTTGCTTATTGACAATATGAAGAGAGAGAGTGAATAATATTAAACATTGGACCTTCCCTCACCTTTCCTTCTGTGTGGGCTGATCATGCCTAATGAAAGTTCAAGCTGTGCTCATAAATGGAGACTGACAAAAGAGTCACTTTTTCTCTTCTTGACTGGATAAATTTGCAGCTGGTTTTGGAATTGATTCTTGCATGCATGAAATTAAAATGTGTTATTTTTAAATGCTCCAGAATATATGCAAAAGAATTTAGTCACCTGAAATGTCATGGCCCAGAAATAAGAAATATGCTAGGCTATGAGCAGTACACTTAGAAAATCAAATTACTGTTCCTCTTAATATCTTGCCTTCATTCAGTTTTTAGAAACTCTGGCAGTTCTTCTGTGTATAAATGTTTCTACCCTTTCTTACAGGTTCCTGTTATCACAAAGCACTGTCTTCAGTTTAAGACTGGCCCAAAACAGCTAGAGTTGCTGGTTAAATTTCTTGCCAGGTCTGGAGCTTTTTCTTCTGTTTTTATTTTCATTTTTAACAGAAATAATTTATAAATTATATTTTTTTCTATTTATAAAATAGAAAAATGGAACATATAGCTATGAATTTTCTCATGTTTTTGCAATTCTGCAGAATTCTCATGTTTCTGCAAAAGGTTTTAGGAACAGACTGCTCTGTTCTTAATTCATTCCTTGTGCTTTGATCTATGTATGCATGCTGGTGAGAAAACCATTGTCAGTATACGGGAGGGAGGCAGACAGCTAAAGCCCAGCAGCTTCCCCAATTGCACAATGCCTGCAGCATGAATGGTTCTGGGGAGGGCTTAGAAGTAGCACAAGGCACAGTTGCATCTATTGTGCCTCTTTTTCTGAGGGCAGCAAACCTTCCTGTACCAACCAGACCCTGCTGACTGCTATGTCTACACAGCATAAACCCTGAATTCAATAAGATAGCCGTGCTTTTTATCTGGGAGGCGAAGTCTAAAATTGCATCTGACCTCTATATGCACAGAGATGCCAAATGATGAGTGCTCTGCCTAGATCCTTGGAGGTTTTAGATGAATCAGTACCTAAATGAATACTTCTGAGGATAATAGCTTTTGTGTCTTTTGCCCATGTGTGGTACAAGGTAGATTCTGAACAGTAATTTATCAAATGGTAGATTGTGAGTCTTAGAAAACACAATGAGGTTTGAACATTGGTTTTTCCCAAAGACGACTGGTCATGTACAAAACTAAGTCAATCCCTGTACTAATAAACTTGTACAACTGATTAAACTACCTATGGTACAGGTTTATTTGTAGGTCAAGCTTCTGGTTGCCCTAGGTCAACGATTTTTAGCAACAAACAACCATAAGACTAGATTTTCTTAATAATGCCAGCTGTCTATGCATAACAAAAGGTAAAGAAACATATTGGTCTGTTGAGTCTGTGTGTGCATCCATCTTTGCATGTATACATTTCTGTACAGCACAAGCTCAGCAAAACAGATCAAACCCACATGCTACATGTCCAGACAAATAATCTTTTTGAGCTTTGTTAAAGCAGCAGAATGAGTTCTCATTTTAATTCTATATTGGGGGTTGCTTGCTTGCCCAGTCATTTGTTTAGATTTCAATGGGAAAATAACAAACAAAGCTAAAATGCCACACTACAAAATTAAATGAATTGGAATTCTGTTCTTCCATGAAAAGACTTGAAATGAGATTTAAATCAGTGCGTGCTTGGTAAAACATAGCAATTTGATATCTGTTCCATAAAACTGACAACTGCATCTAGTTGTTTTTCTTCTCAATTTGATCAGATAATTTGATCATAAAATCCTGGAGTAAATTGGGTGGGAAGGGACCTTAGAGATCACTCAGCTCCAACCCCTCCTGCCAAGGGCAGGGACACCTTCCATTAGACCAGATTGTTCAAAGCCCTGTTCAACCTGGCCTTGAACACTTCCAGGGATTGGGCAATCACAGCTTCTCTGGGCAACCTGTGCCAGTGCCTCACCACCCTCATAGTGAAACTTGGAGAGTATCAAACAGTTACACAGTCAGACTAAGATTTGTTCAGCAAATTACAACAGTGAAGGAAACTTAGTTTTGTCAGCAAATATAAAGGCACTAGCTTGCATTTCCAGAAACTATCTAAAGCTTTTAAAAATAGGCTGATTCAGCTAAAATCGGCCTAATTATATGTTTGGCTCAAAAAAAAACCTCATTAAAAGAACACTATTTGGGTTATAATGTCCAAACCTGAAAAGATAGCAAATACTGCAATTAATAAGTAATTGGACTGACAAGCTAGTATATAGATTATTATATTAATTACATGACTGTAAAATTTGTTCCACAGACCTCCAGGCCTGTTCAATATCTCAGCTACTTAATATCTATTTTAGACCCACTGTGTGGATGTGGTGTTTACTGTACTTGATTCAAACTCCACTTCAGAGAATCACTTTGATTTCCTTTTCTGTTTTTGTTTTCTTGTGGTTCCTTTCACTACAACCAGTATCTCAGCGCCCCACAAATTCTAATGCTTATTTTGCCGGCACCCAGGGTAAGGTTACAGTGGTGGTGACAACCTCCTTCTGCCTAAGGGCTGGAATGCAAAGGGAGATCTTATGATTTCTGAGTGCCTTGTTTTTGAGATATCGATGATCTGATTTTTTGAAATATTAACAATTTGAAACACTACTTTGCTTACTTTCTGCTGCAACTGTAAGTACTCAATAATCTTGTGACTCAAAACTCAAGTGTAGTCATCCAGAAAATGAGAATACAGTTAGCAACCACATGTGAAAAGTATAGTTTAAATAACCTGCTAAATATAAACAGGAGCTTTCTGGCAGAAGCTGAGGAAGTCCAATTTTCTCGGGTAACGTTTAACTGCATTGCTTATGCAAACTTCCTTTCTCTTCATACACTATTTTAATGCTAATTGGGTAATTATCACAATCTTTCCTGAAATTCTTTATTGCTTTTCTTTCCATATACATTTGCGGAATTATCACAAACCTTGATTTTCTACTTCAGAGGTATCATCCCTTCAACAGTCAGCAGTAACGTCTAACTTTATTCTTTGTTTTAACATTTATGATATAAGGTTCATGTTTTTTTAGAGTATTTAGAGCATTTGTGTGGCTATATGGACAATTCTAAAAGATCTGTCTAATCAGTGTTAGCAATTACATTCTGTCTTGTGTTTCTCAGTCTTAAAAATCAAAAGCAAGCTCTTGTAGAACTCTGTCGTTAATGTGCGTGTGAGAATGTAGAGAGGCAAGGAGAAAAGGTGGAAGAAAAACATGAGAGGAGTCTCCAGAGTTTCTGGAAGTAGTTGATCAAAACACTTATGAAGAATAAATCTTAAGAAGTTACTACAAAAGAAATTTGCAATAAAAGAGTAATCCTGTATATACCAATGTGGTACTTCTACTCACTTGTTCACAAGACCTGTTAACCAGAAGAGAAAGCTAAATATGCAGCTAAGCATTGAAACAACATCTGCTGTAGTAATATTTACACAAAATTTCAACTCCTGTTTTTAAGGACTTTAAGTATACCTCCATTTTTTATTTATTTTTTTTCTTTAGCTTTTTTCTCATTTTCACTAATTAGAACAGGTAATGAGCCAGTGTTTCGCAATTTTATTGTCCATGGACAGAGTTTTAAGCTTTGAAAGCATGGTTAAATTACTCAAGAAGTTGAAGTTTACTACAGAAAAAGTGAACATGCAGAGAAATCACCTTTTGTCTTTTAGTAGGAATTTTAAATTTGGAGTTAATATACTGATGCTTTAGTACACAAAACTTATTTCACAGGTGGGAAAACATGCATATTTATATATTTCAGTGACAGCTTCTCCAGGAGTTAGCAAGAGAGAGGACACTGAAGGCATAATGAAATAAATGGACGGCACAGCCAATGTCTTCATCTGGGAGTCTCTGAAAAGGTTCAGACACTATGGCATTCTTACAGCTCGTAGAATGTTTTGCTCATTTTCTGCTCTTAAGTAGCTGCACGTGATAACATACAGACACAGAGGCAGCAAAGCTGCAGAAGAGGGGCGACTCTCAGAGTTACTTACGTTGACAGCCCAAGCTGTGCCAGATATATCCCGGCAGACATTTATCACATTTAGGCCCTGATGTTCCCTCCTTACACTCACAAAATCCTCTGTCATTACAGCGATCATGGACTGAACCAAAAGGGTTACAATAACAGTCTGCAGAAACAAGACAACACATACACACTGGATTCAGGTCTACATACGGTGATAATTCATTCAATACCAATTAAGGGTGCATTTCCAGTGCTAAAGGTAAAGGAAGACTGTCTATTAAGGATATCTGAAGTAGTGAATATAACTACTATAAGCCCATTTATTTGTTTGCGTATGTCATTTCAGGAAGAGACCTTTTATGATGTAAAAAGTAAACAGAAGAGATATAAAAGCAGAAGATACCATGGACTTTGAGGAGAAGTGATTGTAGCAGATTCTCTTTTGGTAAGATATTTTCAACAATTTAATGAAGATTAGAATAGCTTTGCATAGTATGGATATATCAATGTGCCATCAGGGTGAAATGTTTCGCATTATTAAAATAGGCTTATCTGTATTATTCAATATTTTCAGAAGTGCTGAATGTCTTTACAGGGGTATATAAATGCACTTTACGAATTTCCAAGATAGTCTTCCTTTATAGTTTTGAGCAGCATAATTTGTGTGGATATTTGCCATTAAATTGATGAGATTGCATTTATCAGTGACATTAATAAACCTTTTCCTTATTCCACAATGAAAACCTTGAGGTGAGCACCAATGTAATGCAAAACTTATCAGAACTAGCTTAACACTGCCGTTTTAATTTCTCTCACGTCCCAGTGGGCAGATGGAAAATGCGATGAGACTCATTGTCTGCTGTATATTTTCTACGTGTGTTCAACTAATTAAAGAATGACTAGGGTAACCCACTTCCTCCCACAACACTTACTGTGTTGTTCATTCACAGTCCTTTTCTTTAATGTGATTACAATATCCCTGTTCAGCTTTTGGCTAGCTGAACAAAGACAAAAGACTGTAGCAGGCAGAGCTCATTTTTGACACTCCTGTTTTTCAGTTTATTTTTATATATATATGTGTGTATATATATATGTATTCTAATGAAGGGTTATATCTTATTTGTATGTAGACCCATGTAGACCCAGAGTAACTCCACTGTCAACTGAGACCACAGACACTTTTTGGCAGCATCTGATCTCTGCTGCTAGTGAAGGCAAAAGATACACAAATCGATTCCTGAATCTGGGCGACCTGCTGGGAGTCTGGCTTTGTATGTCTCTGAATCAGTGCTACTTTGATGACTGCCTTTGGCAGTTGTGCCCCAGCATGAGGTTAAACCTGAGCAGTATTGTAAATAACAAAATGGAGTTTAATTGGGAAGTAAAAAATGTATTTATATAAAAAAAAGTCCAATGGAAAAACTGCAACAGGAAAAAATTACCAGGAATACATTTGTCATCTGTTGTCTCAGTGTTTATTAATTATAAATTACAGATGGCACTTTGAACATTTGGTATGCTGAAGAATAGTTACCTTTGGCAAACAGAGTTCCACAATAGTAATATAGTCAATTAGCTAGCACCATTCATTAATGAAGTTGGAAACTGACACGCCAAAAATACTGTGCAAGACTGAGCAGAAATATTGGACATTGAGTGCCATTTGAAAAGCTGGCATTTCTGATGTTAATCAGATGTATGAAGCGTTTATGTAAACAGGCATAGAACTGAGATACATATTGAATGCAGGAAGTAAAATTTGCTTCAAAAATGTTTATAGAAAATCTTGAAAGACAAAAAGTTTGGAATTATATTATAAAGAGGGCCCGGTTCTTGTAAACTAAAAATAGCTTGGTTAGACATAATGGAGTTACAGTGATTTAAAAAAGTGTGAAACAAATGTATGGCCTATGATCTGAATATTACAGGTACATAACGGTATATTTTCCAGAGAACAAGAACCTGATCCTGAATCAGTGAAAGCTTTCCTACTGAACTCAATCACATAAATACATAAAGAGTACCAGGCCCACATTGTGCTGTTTAAGGGAAAGTAGACAGTGGAAACAAAACTTTAAGCTAGGACTTTTATAAAAGTAGTAGATCAAATCAGAACACTAAACAGACCCAGTAACCTTTAGCAACTGAATCTATTCTCCACCTTGCACAGTACACAATTGATACCACAGATATATAAACTACAGAGGTCCACTGAAGATCCAAGCTCATTGTCAAACACAATATTATGGGCTGTGGAACACTTCCTAAGACCTGCCAATTACTTAAGATTAAAAAGCTCAAAAGCCAAAATTCCAATGTGCCACAGGAAAGCAGTATCTTCAACGCCCTTACAACAAAAGGGCATTTAGTAGCATTAAATTAACATTCCCAGATCATCCTGATAAGCACACCATACACCAGGTTCCAGGGTGGGGGAAAAAAACCTGAACTGGGAAGGAATTTTCTTCCTAACCTCCATCTGGTGATTGACTGTTTGAAATATGGGAAGATGACAGTAGTAGTCATCTGTTCGCTGAGATTCACAATATTAATGTGATGTTGCCAACAAAACACAATGAAAATAAGTGAAAAAGCAGGTTGGGAAAATGGGCTGAAGCTTGCATGCGTGCTCCTTATCAGTCTGGGTTGACAGTGGTTACAAGACAACCCTCAGCATTCACTTAACTATATATCCTTGGGATATATAGTTTAGGGTTTCTAAAGGTCTCATAGGTGTTAATTGAAGCTTAAGCCTAAATGACTGTAAGGCTGGCTTTCATGTAGGTGTGATGATAATTACCATTTCAGTGTTTATGTTGTAGGGTAAAGGAAATATTTTATTACTCTGGGTCTACTTGGTGGTTTCCATGCTATCCATGCTTGCTAGCGTGAGTATTCACTGTAATGAGGGTTATTAGAGGACTTTATCAAGACCTTGTAAAAATAAAAAAGCTTGAGTTATTAGATTCTTTTTCACTATAAGCATGTCAAGCGAATGATTTTTAGAAACTGGAGTTGCCCGTAAGAGGTAATTTTGCAATTAACTGGCAAATCCACAAATTTTTGGTATTTCATTTTATGAAATACAATTTATTTTGCTTCTAAAGAAATTAAGGGCATAATGAAATTAGATTTAAACCCACTGTATAATGTGTTGCATTTGGTTCACTGGTAAAAACCTTCCCAGGATTTATATTTTTTGTAATTTGTCAGTTAGCATCATCTATGATTCACAGATTTGTTAGCCATATACTTACCATATATATTTATGAAAATTATGTAAGTAGTTTTGATAAATCAGAGCCAAAGCACTGTTAGTTGCCATTAAATTAGCTTATTCAAACATTTTTCACTTTTCTACATACATTGCTGAAGAGGAAAGAATTAGCCTGGAAAAAATGACTTTTGTATGGGAATAAGACTTGCATATGTCACTGGAAATCTGCTTATTTAAAATATTCATGCCAACATTTCAGTCATACTTAAACCCCAAAATGCTGCTTTTAAACTCAGAGAAAAGAGAAATGAGCATTTCCAATAGAGCAAGACTCTTTGTGCTTGACCTAGAAGGATGGTGAATCCATCAACTCTCTCAGAGGTGAAAATAGTCTACATTTTGCCTGATTAAATCCTAGGAGCCCCAGTTCAGGAAAGCACTTTAAGCAAACCCTCAGTTTTCTGAAAAGTGCTTAGTTATCTGCTTCAATTCACTGACTTTAAGCTAGTAGTAGTATAAAAGTCTCCTTGAGGTGGCAAATCAGCTAGGATACTATATTTTGTATGCAGTATGATCACCATGATCCTGAAAACTGTCTTAATCCAACCAGAATATTATTTATTTAAAACGAATTACCTAATATGTAACAAACCAGGGTTTGATAATATAGTTATCCCACATAGTATAGTTCTTGTGGGAGCCCAAGAAAATTCTGCTTGCATTAAGGTAGGAAAGTCAGCAAATACATTATGTTAGGTTTTTTTTTTTTTTTTTTTAATAAAAAAAGACTCCTGTTAATGAAATGTTTTTTCATTTTATTTCTCCAGAGGCTGGGCAATTTTGAGGTACACGGTTGTTTTACTAAGACATTCTGAATATATCACCTCAAAATTAAAGTGTACTTATTTTTGATTTTTGGATTATTGACTTCCTTGCCTTACGTAGCTACAGCTACTGTCTTAACATTTCAGTGTACATGGGAAAACAACTTACTGAATGAGCTGATGAAAGTTCCCAAATAGAGTAATTTAGTGTCATATTCATTAGGCCTGTTTAGGTAACTAAAATTATGCAGCCCTGATGACAATACCAGTGATGTCCTTCATCTACAGCCAACAAATATGAGGGACAGCAGATTTTTTCCAAGAAAATTTGATTGGGTTAATCTCCTCAGCACAGTCATACAAAATCATGACTTGCCTGCTAAAGTTCTTATTAACTCAGACTAATTAATGTCAAAGGAGATAATGCATTTTCTGAATGTGCTGCCAAGCAAAGTTAAAAGAAGGACACATAAAATGCAGTGTGTGGATAGATCTGTGGGTTTATCACAAAATAAAATGTAAATCTATCAAGCTGCAGACTGAAACAAATAATAGCAACCTATATAGTTTCTGGCTTGAATCTCAGCAATGGATTATAAACAATATTGAAATATAATTTATTCACCCATAGTCTATTTTGGCATGAAAACATCTTATAAATACTCTTTGGTTTTGCTTCCTGGAAATGGAAAGAAAAAGAAATTCACAATGAAAATCCAGAACAGATTCTACTGATTCTTATGTCTCTAAGAGACATTACCTCTGTTATTAGAGCAGTGTCTTTTGTGCTGCCTGTTAACTACTGCTCGTTGTGTGAGGCTTCCTTTATTGACTATTTTCAGACCTCACCTAGTGTCCTAATTTTTACTGTCTGTGGTGACATGAGAACAATGCATATTCTTCTACTATGATAAGGATCTTTTTCTAATATTCTTTTTTTGCTGCATTTTGACATTTTCTTTAATTCTGCATTTTGGGTGTTTATAACAGATGTTAGGTCTAAAGCACTGTTTTCACCTAGGAATCCCTTTTCTAAACTGACATCATGTCAAACTGCTTTGGCTAATTCTGCTCCTAACCACATGGACATAATTTCAGTTTCTTCTGTAAGGAAAGGGGAGGTAACACTGCATTTACAGGCCTGTGCCTGGGAGCAGAACTAGCTGCAACCTGTTTTTATGAAGTGAATGAAAGGGATTCATATGCACAGCTTCCCATGTGCTGTTGCTGCAGCTGGCAACTTTTTTAGGTCTCCAAGCAAGTAATCAAGAGTCTGCACTAATTATTCCAAAAATTAAACTGGGAACAGGTATTTTTGACTCAACCCTTCAGTTTTCACATGTGCAACTCCAGCAAGGTTCCCTTCTGCTGAAGGACAGCAGAGTTTCTTGGGGTCTTCTGGGTAAAGTCTTCCCAGGACCTTTAGTCAGAGGGCTCACTGTTGTATACAGATTCATAATACCTCCTTGAGGCACTAAAGAAGCAACAGAAATGACGTGAAAAGTCTACACAGATGTTCTTATCCATTGAAAAAGCTCATTCTGGCTCAACTGGCAAGTAAGCAGCAGCGATCCCTAGCAGTTGCCAGTAGTTGAAAATGCACAGAAGAAAAGCCGCAATCATCCCGGGACTGACCTATGCACACATTTTCATCGTCCAGCTCTGCAGAAGCATTTCTGAAGTAGCCCAGCCTGCATAACTCACAGTGCTGACCTCTAGTGTTGTGCTTACAGCTCACGCAAATGACCGTATTGAGCAGCTCGATGTAACTGCACCGGTTGGAGTGCCCGAAGCATTCACAGTCTTTCAAGGAAGAACAGAAATGTATACAAAATGTATACAGCAGCAGAGTAATAGCACATTACATGCTTAGTAAAAATGAATCATGAATAGAAGTATGAATGAATGCACATACATGTTAATCAATGTAACATGGACAACAGCAGATGTGTATCTGCAATGGAAGCGAAGTTGGTTTCAGGCAGGTTAGCGTGAACCAGCAACCATGGCATGACATCGAAGGTTGGCTGTTGTTGGCAGACCTGATGGAACTGAAGCATTTGCAGTTGTAAACCTTTCAGGGGTACTGAAGTCTCAGTTCCCACTGACAGAAATGCATGTCTTTTTGGACATTTGAGATGAGTATAAATCAAGACCTGGGAAAAAACTTCCTTGTATTAAAAATATCAAATACAGTGGACAAACCTGTCAAACTTCATCATGCTTAAATCCACAAATGTAAGTAAAATGAAAGTTTTGTTCTGACATGAATGGCGATTATTAGAAAATACTACTGAATTCGGGATACTGTAACTGGTAGGCACTTTGGGAACCTAACTGTTTCAAGACCAAACAAATCTCTAGTTTGACAATTTTGCCAGCACTTGCTAAAACAATTATCAGAGAAGAAAGTTAAGGAAGAGAGGTGTTACTTAAGAGCTGCTTCTGCTGTGCTTCTGAGGTAAGTATTAACCCATTTTTTATATTCTGAGATGAAAAAGAGTTGGGCCAGAAAAGATCTCAAAAATTCTGAAATGTGTACTGAATAGAAAGCGTGCTTACTTCAGCCATATGAAATGCAGTTGGCATAACAGCTGCTTTTTAAAAATCCCTTCATTAAACATAGAATGCTGGTGCCTTTTAATCTTTATTCACAAGCAGTGATTGGTTTTATGCAGAAAGAAGGAGAAATTAGAAATGTATCAATAACATTACAAAAGGCACAGCTATGCTTTGTGTAGAAAGCCTGTCTAAATCTGATCACTCAACTCAGATTACAAGACCAGAATGAATGCAGGAAAGGCTATTAGGATGATCAGAGAAGTAGAGAGCCTATTTAAAACGTGAACGCTATGATAATTTGGCTTATTTAGTCTAGGAAGCTGAAGACAGGGGCTATCACTGGGCTATAAATACATCAAGGAGATAGCCTTCTGCCATTCTAAGTGAATATCTGTGGTAATGGACAACACTGGCACAAGAACAAATGGGTGTTAACTGCCCATTGAGAAATTTCAACTGGAAATTAGGAGATGGTATCTAGCCATTACTGAGATTCTTGAACACTCTTCCAATTTGCAGCAAAAAACCTGATGCTTTAGAGATGTAGTTTATTAACAGATGAAAGAGATTATGATATGTTTCCTTCAGTAACTTCATACTAGATGCAATGACTTAGAATGGCTTCAAGGTCTTGAAGTTAACTCTAGCCTGTAATTAGATAAAGCTGTAGCAGAGGGTGTAAAATGTTTCCATATATGAAAGGGGCCAAGTCTCCTCTGCTGCCTTTCGTATGGTATGCTGCTGATCATGTTGGGGTACCTGGTGAGCTCAATGATTGTGACATAGGCCATCAGAGCAAATATTTGTGCTTGGCTGTATTTTTATGATGCAGTAACAATACTGGTACATGTTTATGAGTATGTTATGCACACTTAATACATATGTATTTCCTTGGCCATTGTCTGACATAGCGTACTGTAAATAGATTGCGACTTTTCCTATACGGTGCAACACTTAGCACAACACAGGTTTCAATCTTGAGAGCTGTCTTTCTGCTACCAGAAAACATTAATTCAATTTACATTTAGTTAACATATATACATTCTTGTTCTTTTCAATGTTATACTGCTACACCAATGTTTTGTAGTTCATGCTAACCTGATCATTTTGATGCCTATAAGCTGCTGGAGCACAATAAAAACATTTGATGTATTGGTCTCAGTATGTTACCACTTGACATAATTGAGTGGGGAGGAAAAAAGTGTTAATGTTTTGTTGTCTTTTGCAGCTGGTCAGTGTGATTCAGTATCTCAGCCAGCAGCTGAGTGGGTGGCTTTCTCCCCTAGTATATCCATCTTGCTTGAGTAAGAACTGCCTGTGTGGGTCAGAGGCAACAGATCTAAAAGTGGAAACTAGCACTGGCAAGCAGGAGTCAACAGGGAAAATTGTTGCAAGTTTTTATGTGTTTCATTTTTAAAATAAGAAGGACTGGTTAGTGACAAGCAATCTGATCCTTCTGAATCTCAAATTCAGAAGCAGGGTTCTCTTAGTATCTATATCTGACAAAGGACCTGTCTTCTGCAACCATTAGACATTTTTATGTTTCAAAAATATGTAGACTATAAAGAAGGGCTACTAAATCAGACTATGCTACATCACCTTTTGTGTTTAAGTAGCAGAAAGAAATTGAGACTATTCTCTGAACGAATGACTGTGCTATTTCCACTCTGAAAGTGCAATATGACCTTTAATAATATTACTACTACACATAATTAGCCATTACAAAAGGACAAGAAACAAAGCTGCACATTAAGTAATTCACTCTCTAATAAGCCTTGCTCCCAGCCATGATTTATGAAAAGCTCAACATGAACCAGCAATGTGTGCTTGCAGCCCAGAAAGGCAACCGCATGCTGGGCTGCATTAAAAGAAGTGTGGCCAGCAAGTTGAAGGAGGTGATTCTCCCCCTCCACTCTTGTGAGACCCCACCTTAAGTGCTGCATCCAGCTCTGGGGGCCCCAATATAAGAAGGATGTGGACCTGCTCGAGTGAGTTCAGAGGAGGCCATGAGGATGATCAGAGGGCTGGAGCACCTCTCCTATGAAGACAAGCTGAGAGAATTGGGGTTGTTCAGTCTGGAGAAGAGAAGATTTGGGTGATTCCTTATAACAGTCTTCCAATACCTAAAGGCATCTATAACATATCTGGAGAGGAACTTTTTACAAGGGCATGTGGAGATAGAACAGGGGAGAATGGCCTTAAACTGAAAGAGGGGAGATTTAGATTAGGTATTAGAAACAAATTCTTTACAATGAGGGTGGTGAGGCACTGGAACAGGTTGCCCAGAGAAGCTATGGCTACCCCATCCCTGGCAGTGTTCGAGGCCAGGGGTTTTCGGCAACCTGGTCTAGCGGGAGGCGCCCCTGCCTGTGGAAGGGGGTTGGAACTAAACGAGCTTTAAGGTCCCTTCCAATCCAAACCATTCTATGATTCTATGATTTGGGATGAAGAAACTTCTAATAATTTTGAAGGACTTAGTTTGATGTACACACATGCCCATAAACATATGCAGAACTACTACCCAAGTTCAGACATGGCTTATCAATATTAAAGGTAAACCCTACAACCAATTCTTATACTTGGTTGCATTCCTATGGGTACTGCTGTTTTTTAACAACTATACTGTGTGAAAGAAAGCCTTTGTCTCAGTTAACTTATACTAAGATATAGGAAATCCCTAGGAATCTTGATCACCACACTAGCACATGGTGTAGAAAAAACCCAGTTAACTCAAAACCAGCTGAACATCTGTTCAAAGATTATCAATGGTGCAAAAGAAAAAAAAAGACACAGCAAGTAAAGATTAAATAATTTTTTTTTTTATAATTTTAACCTTCTCCCCACCAGTATCCCCATTTTGCAAGTGCAATGGTATGAACTTATTTTGCTTACTGCTATTGGCCTAATCAGTGAATCTTTTTCACATCCCTCTGTGTTTATATAAAAAATTAGGTAAAGGGTACTCATATGAATGGAATTATTTTCTCCACTGGTTACATGAGGTGCTGCTTTACACCAGTCAATGTACATACATGAGTCAAATCTACATAGCATGTAGAATTGCTTTCAGCATTGTGCCAGCTGGGAAGCTAACAGCTATCAATGCTGTATGGCCCTTCTATCTTATCATGTGGTTCACCTTAACCAGCACACCAAGACCACAAAGTAGCCTGTTAATTAGAATTGTTAGACGCATATCTTAAGGCCTCTGGCTATCAGCCCAATCACTTTCATGTACCGCAAACTCATCCAATCACTGAGAGAGATGGGGCAAAATATCAAAATCAGGCTGCAAACGGTTTATTAACAATAAAATGACAAGAGCTTACGGTGCTAAAAAATGATACTTTCAGTTTTGAGTACCACATGTCAGAAGAGACACAGATAAACTGGAAACAGTTGAAAGCTGAATTACAATAAGGAGTAAGTGGTTTGTAAAAAAAAAAAAACAAACCCCCCAAAAACCCGAAGAGAAGAGTTAAAGACAGCTAGACAGTTTTAATGTGAAGGAAAAAGGGAGAAGAGATAGCCACATTAGATTTGATAATTGTTTTTGGATGATTCAGGAATGGCCTAATCCCTTGCCAACTCACAGAAGAATTATCTGTATCAGCATTTAAAGACCAGATCCAACACAATGATTCTATTGCAACCATCTTGATCCTGTTGTAGAAAGCATGATAAAATTACCCATTGAAGGAAGCTCATAAAGAGGTGCATCATTTAATTGTTTTGTTCTATAAATTGAATACTTTTTTCCCCATTACAATGCCATGCATTTACATCTTTGAGATGATGTACTATTGTGCTGTGGGATCAAGGTTCAGCTGAAGCCTCAGCTGCGACCAATAAAACATGAAACGTCATCACACGAAACAATGGCAAACACACACGGAAAGGAAGCATAATTAAACTAAGACAGCTAATGCATGAGATAGCTACGAGTATCATTTTCTAATTAAAAGCACGGAGAGTATTTCAAGAAAAGTGCATTCAGAAATAATCAAAATATTTTTTCTTTTTGACTTTCCAGTAACTCTGTGCTCCTCCTTTATACAGTAACAAAAAACAACAAAGGAGATTTCATTGTAACCTTAAGGTTCATAAGAAACAGTATGGCTCATTATCATGGTCACGTTAAATGGGTCAAACTAAATTCAAACACTTGTTAATACCCCTATTGCTTGTTAATATCTATTTCATGAATAATGAGATATTCACAATAGCTACAGAAAGACAAAACTTCTTCATACATACTCTTGACAGAAAAATTGATGAAGAAAAACAATGAGAAGATCTCAGGATTCAGAATGTGAATGACAGATATGCAAATGAAACAGGTTGCCTGTAAGTCAGACAGAATATTAGTGTCCTTCATTATGCCCACATAATTCCATTATTTTGATAAAGCACTGAAACATCATATCCAAATGTAATGCCTACACTCTGAATTTGTGCACTGTTACAGTAAAATGAAGATGTAAGGCACACTTACAATGCATTAAAAGACATATCTATGAATTACACTCCATGGCGTTTACAGATACTTCTTGAGGATACGGACAATTGACATTTAATGTTTTGTTTACCCTCAACTAATCTGCTTATGTATCCTCTTTTACAATTTATGTATATCACTAAAGAAAACAGGAGTCTAGCGAACATTTGCTTTATAGGTGATGATCTGAATGGTCATATTCATACATTTAATTTCTTTAAAAACAAATGCCATGTCACTTCATATGCCAGCAGTGACTGTCTAAGCAGCACATTTATTTTCTTTGTATGGCTTATGTTTATGCAACTTAATGCTTCTGTTGTTGTCAATGAAGATGTCTCACCAGTAAGCTGATGGGTACACTTCACAGTATTCCAGATTCATACAGCGCAATGTTTTCACAACATAGAGCACTATGGAATCACTGTATGAATCCAAGAATTCCTACCTCTCTTGTGGTTTGCAACTTGAACAGAAGAAACAGTTGACATAGCTAATTTGGGAGCAACTGGATAGGTAATAAAATGAACAGTAAATTAGAAAAGGTATCATGTAGGAACAAATCTAAATATTAAAATAAACTTACTTTTAAACTAACTTAACAATGGTTATTGTTTTGTAAGGAAAGGGTGAAAGTTAGGGAAAATTAGTTATGTACTATCAACTCCAATCATTTCACCTGTAATACCCAAGGTAAAGAAAGGAAATGTAATTCACTCCTACACACTTTGGCAGCTTTGTGTTTGAGTTTATTTGCTGATTTCTCCCAGTCCATGGCCAATGAGTATATGATAATCAGAGTGGTTGCCAAAGGGTTTTATTAAAGTCATATGTATATTCATTCTGGCCTAATAGCATCAACAAGGAAAACACAATAAAATATTATTAGGTATAGGCAGATTTCTGTAATTATTCTCTTCATACACTATCCTTGACTGAAGGATTTATTCTACAATAAACATTAAACACTAACAATACGCTGCAAACACAAAAGCTTCTAAGTTTGTGTTTTGTGCTCACTAACAAAACATCAAAACTAAGTTTATTAAAACCTCTTATTTTCACAGAAGAAGCACTAAGCAATTTTGTTCTGTTCAAGACATATTTTGCAACAGTGTTAAGTCTTAGATCAGAAGAACAATAATTAAGCTGTGAAATCCTTTAGATATGCTAAATATAATTTCTTTGGGCATATTTTGATTTAAAATTTCTGTGGATAATGTAGGCTAATCTTCATAGAGAACAGAGGAGCAGAGATCAATCTGTTTTTTTGTTTGTTTGTTTGTTTAAGGACCACGTGTAAAAGCTTGGAAAACATAACATGGTCTAAATGAAGTTATTGGAATGCTAAGTATCATCAGGGTTATTTAATTCAAAATATATGTGAATAAAGCAAACTAAAATACTTCGCTAATACTTATAGAAAGCACAGATCAATTAGTATTTTCTATTTTGCTGGGCACATAAACTCCCACATATAACATGGTAGATTTTAAATACATGTGCATATGTTTTGATTTGGCCATTGTGAACAATGGATTTAACTACAGCCCTTCCAATACAATTCTCCAACAGATTCCCAATGCATCTTGTCCAGTCTAGTAGCTATTTTCTAGATCACCTTTTCATTAATTTTATTCTTTATCTGTATGTGTTATAGTATAGAAAGGACCCCCCTTGAACAGTCAAAGCAAGCCATAGGCCAGATTTCTGAAGGGATTATTTTGGGCCTATGGGCAGTAAATGAGAACATTATTTTTTATAATGAACAATCATTTTGAAATGTGAAGTATAGCTGAATGCAACTTCAAATAACAAAGACTTACTTTGATTAATCACCATAAAAAGTTGTTCTATCTCATTCAGTGCTAATCATCATGCCATAGTCTGAATGATTTTTTTGTGTGGCACTCCTTGTAGAGAACTGAGTCTATCCTGCAGAGAACTTGCTTGTATTGTGGATGGCACATAAGCTGAGAATGCTCCTCAGTTCACTTGGGAATAGAAGACATTAAAACTGGGTTTGATGAAGACAATGACAATCTTTCTCATGCAAAAATCTCAAAACTTACTCAAAATATAGATTGTGCTGTCTGAACAAGTCTAACATTATCTAGGGCTTTCTGTATGTCAGTTTCTGGAATCTGTGTGTCTGCTTTCCCAGACTTTGGCAGTAATGTGCATAATCTGAGTGCTGAAAGACTCGTTTTTCAGGTGAGGTTTGGTTTATGTTTTTTTTTCTCACAGGATAGCATTACTTAGCAATAGAAGAAAAATGAGTTGGATTATCATTGTTACTACTTTTGCCAACGTGTGGGACTCCTTGAAAGCAATTTCAGTAATCTTAGACCACTCGGAATTTTACAGCTTCCTACCTTGGTTTGGTTTAGAAACCTCAAGGGAAGAAATATTCGGCCATATCCTATCAAACTTGGGAGGATCTGCATGCATCAGGAAAAATCAGGTTTTGTTATTTACATCTGTGATATTGTTCTAAACAGGCAAGCACATGGACAAAGACATAGATTACAAACATCCATTACTGGACTAGTCTAGGTTGCACTTGAACAGTACATGACTCCACAGTGAACGAGAAAACAAGCAATTGATGATTCCCAAAACACCAAATGTACATAAAATACTTTGCATAACAATTTATTCCCTGTGGTAAAAAATACATTTTTTTTCATGATAAGAAGATATCCTAGACCAATATATATGGTTCTAACACTAGGAACAAAACAAGAATATATTCTGTTAAATCTGCTCTACAGAGATAAAATGACAGTATCAGACAAATATGGATTTCTTACCAAAGAGACATATCTTACCGTAACATCCTGTCTTAGTACTCTTTTGAGTGAATTATATTTCTGTTATCAGAGGAATATATTTACCAGTAGAGTGGGCTTTTTCTTTTGCTCTCATGCTTTCTTGTGTTGCATCTATTAACTGTCACCTCTGCTAACATTTTACAGCTTGATTTTGTAAGAACATGAAATGTCTACATTTCTTAAAAGCCCAACATAATGTTACTTTTATCTCTCAGAGAAGGAATTAGCTGTGACTTTTTACAGCTTCATCTCCTTTGGTCAATGTTTTTTGGGGCTGGGGTAGTGGGGAGTGATAGTCCTTAGCAGAATGCTGCTGGGTGTTGGAGCTGAGAGTAAATTAAGGGTACGTGGGCTGTGGGGGAAGGAAAGAAAACTTTCCTCTGAGCCCAGATCTGGGAAATGGTATTTATATTCTCTGTATTTCTCTGTCATAATCTTTTTTCTGTTTCCATCTGCCTAGCTTTGAACATCAGATTTCGACCACATGTTCTGTGAGTACTGCAGTGTTTGGGTTCTTTCTGAGCTGAAAAGAATTTCTCTAATGGTCATATCAGCATACATAGTGGTGATATTAGTGGGGAGAGAGCTATTTCTTCATGTCTACCTACAAGGAATTCAGCTGACTATTGAGTAGATTACATTTGTCACAACTTGGTCAGCATCAAGGGTCTTTCTGAAGAAGGTGTGTTTCACTGTTAAGTCCATCTTAGTGGAAGGCCTGCAGGGAAGTGATGACAAAAAGATTGGGACTTTAAAAATTTGATGTGGAAGGAGGACATCCCATAATATCTTCTGACCCATTTGTCAAGGGTGAAGAGAAACTGTTCGGGTTGGACTGTCTGTTCCAGAAGTTTTTCCACATAGAGAACAATTCAAGGAAACAGTCATGACCTGCACTGTGTCATTTAGTGTTAGATAGCCTTCTGCAATTGAATCTGCAAAGCTGTGATATAATTGCATCATATTCTTGATTTTTTTTTGCTTTTTTCTTATCAATCAAGAAAATGGAAGAGCTGAGTCAATCTGGCAGATTCTCCAACAGCCTATGTATTGATTAAAAATAATACGCCTCTACTGGTCAGATCCACCAATTCACACACATAGGAAGTGCAAACACAGTAGTCTGAATGTACAACAAAATGTATCTAAAAGCTGTACTTAGTGATTTGGCATGATAACGGTAGCCCACTGAAAGACTAATTCCATACACGTGAGATATGGACTTCCTCCTCCTTCTCCTGCTGTAACACTGGTTATGTTAAAAAGTTTCAAGTACACACAGACAATTACTCACACAGTGAATTCACTGTTAAAATTTTGGTCAAATTAGGATCAATTAGACTTGACTTAAATATTTTAAAGGGGTTGGACATTAGAGAAGGCATATAAAAATCAGTAGGTATAAAAGGAAAAACAGTATTGATCACATTGTCCTGCTTTCCCCTGAGCCTTTTTCTCTTTTAGCCATTGTGCAACATCAGGGTTGTTGCCGAAAACCTGTTGTAAATACCGTGTGAACTCTACTACAAAAAATCACATGCATAATTATCTATTATTACCATAATTACCAGAAGTAAAAGAAATAGTGTCAAACATTATAATGCCTTAGAACTAACCCTCTGGAATATTCTGTCATTTAATAAACTGTAGGTCCTATATATGAAATTGGATTTTTTACATAATCTGATTCATATATTAATATAATCATATATTCATATATAATATAATCATTACTATTTAATATATAATCTTATTCTGATGACTTCCCCAATTAATCTCTTGTCCAAATAAAGTAATTCCTTGTACGACAGAAAAATCAGAGTTGTATATTTCTTAGTAATCCTATAAATGCTATAGATCGGTGCTCGTTTTAGCAAACTTACTTAAAATTGAGGTTGTGACTTACTAAAAATCATTAAAAATTCCCTGACATGTTAAATTTGATCATATTGAGCTGAGTTTTTAATGGGCACCCAAAACAAGAAAAAGCATTTTTATAATGCCTAAAGATTACCAATTGAGTATTATTACTAGTGATTTTTGCTAGCTATTAGTGATAGTTATAACCATCTTAAAGGGACTTGTGGTGGTCATTTGTCTCCTCCCTTTGTGCATAACAGGATCAACTTTGAAGTTAGATGAGGTTGTTCAGGGTCATACCCAGCTGAGACCAGCTGCTGTCTTCAGTGTTTCTGGGCTGCTTGGTAATGTGGTTAATGCTCCCAGAGACTTATGGCATCTATTGTGGGCCTCTTTTTTAAATCTTTGGTAAAGACATAGTTTTTTCTTATATCCTTATTCATGGAATGTATTATCATCATTATAATAAGAGTTATAAACAAGACTACAGGAAGTTTCATGAGAAAGACCTTCCTTCTTATCTTTGTAAATTTTTTGTTTGTTTGTTTGTTTTTAATGGAGATTAATTTAAATGCTTTATCTTAAAAGTTACATAGGAGGTCCAAGTCAAAGAATATTGCCTATCATTCCCACAAGTATATTGGAGCAGATGAGTCATCCTTTGAACAGGCCCTGGGAAGATTCATTTACCAGCTAGTTATTCTTTTATAGCAACTTGTGAAAATATTTCTAGTCCTCAGTGATTACCTCTAAGGGTTTTATTTATAGAGACTAGATAAAGATTTTAAAGCTTTTCCAGAACAGTTCTACGTCTGGACACTGTATTCTGTAATTAAAGTAATTATTTACCTGAATAATTAAGGAATTTTGGTGTAGGTGTTCTCTAAGATATGCTAAGATGTAGTGTAATATATTCTGGGCAAACAAGGCTACAGAAATGTGAAGAAGAGTTTCTAAAATTATGTTCTAGTGTTATTTAAAAGCGAAGCTACTGTAGACACCTTTTAAGTGTAGAGGTGTGTGAGCTATATGACTGAGCAGAAAATCAGATATGACATTTTACATTTGCATTGTAAATGCATGCATTTTTAGTTACTATTGTTGCAAAGCCGATTATACTCAGAAAGTAACTACTGAAAAAAAAAAAAAATCTTACTTTGATGAAGTATGGAGAAACTGATTGCATTATATTTATTAAATGCATGACAATTTTAAATTATTTTTTTTTTCTCTCCTCCCAATCCTTTTTTTGGATATACAGTGTCAGAATTACCTCTGATATTGAACAAAGGAAGTCTGTCTCAAATGTTCATTGGAACTGCAGTCTGCACCATGGGCTACATCATGGTTTCAAACTGGGGATTTAATGCAAATGAATGGGTAGTTTCAGCCTGGTTCCAACAAGACAGCTGCACATGAAAAAAACCTGTCATGATGTTGGCAGAAATTAATCAGCACTTTGTTGGTTTCTCACTCCAACCAAGTACTGAACTGCAGTAAAATTAAAATGTATTTCCACTGAGAGGGGCTATTCTTCCTCAGGGATGAAGAACGCAGGTGATGGAGCACATGAAGAATACATTGCTGCCTGGGCATCTGTGCTCTATGGCAGATTAGTGTATTTTCATCTCCTAAACTGTTTCTCCTGACCCAGTCCACAAACAGGGCATTTGCTAAAAATTACTAATAATGAATCAGTAAGTCTTAAATAATGCTCTCTTGAAGGGCAGACAGGGAGTGCTTGTGTTGGCAACTATCATTACTTATTTAATTTATAATAACAACAAGGAACCCTAAATGAGAGACTCCAATGATGTTTTTTAACCTTCCTCCACCTTCTGTTTAAAACACAAAAAACATTACAAAAATTGTCAATGTAAGCTTAATGATTATAGTAGAAATCCATGATTCTAGTAATAGAAAACTGGACTTTCCACTGCCTATTGTAAACCAAGAGTAGTTGAGAGTAAATATCTATTCTAAAATATGGATGTCTGCTAAGCACAATGGAATTATGACAGTGGTTTTAGGTTTTAATATTAGAGAAAAAAAAATTAGGAAGAATTAAAAATAATGCTCTCTGAAATCAATGTCAGATTAAGTAACTGCTGGAATAATCGAGCATGTTTTTATTGGATCATACTCCATCACTTCTTGCAAACATCACACTATCATTATTACAGCATTTCTATATCTTTAGGTCCATTTCAATGGAAATCATGATAACCTATCTCACAGAAAAGTTGCCTTTCAGCACTTTTGTAACACTACAAAATCTAACTCATCAAAAGAGATGAAATGCTGAAAAGTTTGTTGTTTTTTTTTTTTAAATCATCCCTTTATTTTTTTTTTAGTTACAAAGAAAGTATTTGGCCAAGGTTAGGCAATCTTTTTTGGAGCAATGTAGGAAGTTTCATACCTGTTCCTTTGAAGAAAGGAGAATTCTGCATAAATGTGAAGATGTGGTTGTTTTATGGCAGCTCCTCAGCCATAACAGCTTTTATAACTGTTGGAAGAATTTAAATGCAATTAGTCCTTTACGTGTCCACTTGTCTTAGAGGAAAAGAAAGTGATCTTTTTAGAGGCTTAAAAATAAATAGATAAATAAAATGATCCAGCTCTGGAAGCTTTTAGATATCAGAAAAAAAAAAAAAAAATTCCACGGATTTTGACAAATGTGTTGGCTAATTCTCAGACTAATGCGGTATGAGAGATAATTCTTCAATTTCAAGTATTTTCACTAAAAT